GCATTGTTTTTGCTTCATGAAGCCCATAAAATACTGGATAAGATGAGCGATTGCCAAACCACATAGATTATCAGGGAATAAATATGACCCTAGAAAAGCATGAAACATATATATATGTAGAAAAGCAATTCTTTGGATAAATGGCTGTCTTCTTAAGTTAGTTATTTGTATGTCAGGTGGTATTTTTGTGTAAAATTTTTGCCCTATTATGTTTTTCACAAATAAATGATCTCATTCACATATTATAACACAAATCTGTAAGAATATACAAGGATATAGTCAAAAAAAGATAATGAATAAAAGTATATAATAAAGAACAAATATTTGATTTAATAATATTTCAGACTGTTGATGTCTACAGGTGTGATGATGTATTTCATAAGTATTTTCCATTTGGTTGTCTAGCATGGTCTCACTATGTTTTATTTCACTTTCAAATCGGGTGAATAAAAAGCTAAATTTACTTCTTGCGCTTATAGGCTAGCATATCAAAGCCAGATGTAAGACCTATCGAATGGATTTCAATTGATTGAATGCTCACATTTGTCACCGTAGACCACAAACCGTCACTCTTAGCCAAAAAAGCTACGACTCAATACTGGTGTGGAATGATGTGCTATGAAGTGAGAATTTAGATCCTAGCACATAGTCAACGGGTGCTGTTCCAATGTGCATTGTGGAGCTTCTGAATGAATGTGTGCTTGATTGTCAGCATAGTTATTAGGTTATTGACCACATCCAGCAGGATAGCCTAATGTCCATTTTGTCGTGTGATGGGCTCACCAGCCACAAAGAATAAATTTTTAATTGTTTATGCAACACAAAGATCACAAAAAGTAACCAACAGAGCTGTCCACTTATGTAGTCCTGGTAGATGTGAAAATAAAAATAGATTGTAGATAATGTCATTAAATAAAAAATAAAAAATCATAAGAACATATAAAATGTGTGGTAAGATTTTGTGAAGTAGAAGAACAAGAATGTATTTGTATTTATATATGTATTTATATGTATATATACAGTCTTTCACAGGAAGATGCACGTCTTTATATGACCAGGCAAATTACATTTTGCTTCGACGATTTGGCTGTGGCTATTTCAAAAAACATTTTTAAAATGCGCTGAATGAAAAATATCCTGAATTATACCTTAAGTGAAATAAATTACATCAAAACTTTGAACAAATGTTTTTATATTAGCGAAATGCTTTTAAACAAAGTAAAAATTTACAGAAATAGTTTTTTTTTTATAAGTAATTGTAGGAGTTTTAAGTTTTTTGAAGAGTTTTGAAGTTTCTGTATTATGGAGTTGAAAATTCATTATTTGGATTGATTGGCGCTGAGCTGATAACAATTTATTAAGATTACAATTACCAATTTGTCCCCAAATTTGACAACAGTAGATTGAAAAATTGACACTTGACAAGTCTTCCCAGGAAAGGCATGCTGTTTTTTGTCTTGTATGACCACGCTTGAGTATTTTAATTTAGACAACTTGGTCACGGCCGTTTGCAAGTTTTATTATAAGCGTTGCTGATAAAAGTTTTAAAAACAAAGAAAGCAAAATAACAAAATAGGAATTTAAATATAAAATAATAATTATAGTTTAAATAATTTGTGAACTTTTTTTATTTTTGTTTTTTCATGATGGTTATTATTTTCGGCAACAAAATTCAGTAAGTCAAAGGGAAAAAAAAACAAACAAAAAAAACAGTTTTAAACATTAAAAAAGATGACTTTCCTATATTTTATTTGTTTGTTTTTTTTAAAGAGTAAAGCAAAAATATGTACCGTTATCTGTTTTTAAAATATATTTGTACAATTTTAATGTTACAAGTATATATTAAGGGTTAAATTAAGCGATTGCGATTTGCAAACTCTGGAAAAATATCTTCAAAATTTTAGTTTATGCAAAGCTGTGTACTTTGTTTTCTAGGAGCAAATTGTTATAAGTTTGTTAGCGAGAAAGTTATAAAAAATAAAACAAAACAATATACTTACAACTACAAAAGTAATAACACTTTAGTCACTAACTTCATTATAAAAGTAATAAAACTATAATAGTGTTATTGCATTTATAAAGCACTTATTACTTTTAAAGTTCATTTTTTGTTCAAACAACATTAGTAATTTCAAACATTAATTAAAGTAGAAAAGCATCTAGAAAAAATAAAGCGGATACTCAAATATTATTAAAAACTTCAGGAATTATGAAAAACATTATGTTGTAATGAAAAATGTGTGTTAATTTTAAAATCAACCAATTTTTATTGGTTGGTTTTGAAATAAACGCGCGTATTTATTTATAACAATAAGGGTTGAATTAGGCAATTGCAAAATGCAGATTTTGCATTTTGCAATCGCCTAATTCAACCCTTATTGTTACATTAAAATTATACAAATATATTTTACAAACACATTACAAATTATATTTTTGCTTTCCTCTTAGAAAAAAAAGTTAAATAAAGGAAAGTTATTCTTTTTATTGTAGACTTAATAATTTTTTATTTTTTTTTGCTTTGCCTTTTCTAATTTTGTTGCTGAATGTAACAACCAGTCTAAAGAAACAAAAATAAAAACAGTACACAAATTATTTAAATTATTAAATTCTTTCAAATTTCTAATTATTTAAATTATTAAACTCAAGTTCATTTATAATGCCCTCTTTCTGTCGAGGCTGTAAGACTCCTTTCAAAAACGCAAACTTTGAAAGAAAACCTTACTAGAAAGCATACAGAAATACTACAGATACTTCAGTAAAACAGCGTCCCATACCGCAGTGGCTTATGGGTGAAAAAGAAATTAGCTCTAGAAAGCAAAAATTCACAAATACATTTGCATCAACAACAACAAAAATTAAAAAATCTAATCCTACTGTTTATTTTCTTCAATACTTGTTTTTTTTAATGAAAAATAATTCAAAAAAAAACTGGTAGAAAAATTTTGACAGTTTTGATGATATCAAAGTTTGATTTTTTTTTTTTTTTATGATTTTTTTCTATTTTAATTTCTTTTCATTTTTTTTTTATTTATTTATTTATTGTTTTTATTTTTGATTTTTTTTTTTTTGAAACTTTTTCCAATGATTATAATAAAATTTGCAAACGGTCATGACCAAGTTGTCTAAAATAAAATACTCGCGTGTGGTCATACAAGACAAAAAACCGCATGCCTTTCCTGGGAAGGCTTGCTTGACAACAGTTGTTGACACCAATTTGTCCCCAAACTTGACAACAGTAGTTGTCCCCAAACTTGACAGCAGTAGATTGAAAAATTGCAAAATACAGATTCTTAAGGGTAGTTTTATCAACATAATGGCAAATTATTGAAATCATGCCATTAGCTCGATTAAGTTTTTTACGGAGTGCATCTATATGAAAATTCCAGGAGAGGTTCAAATCTATAAAAATACCAGGATATTTAACAACATGTGTTGGATATAAACGTCTATTATTAATTTTAATTTTAGTTATATGATTGTTGTGTAAAATTTTTTGTTTTGGAGATGAAAAAATATTAGTTCAGTTTTTTCCAAGTTCAGAGAAATAAAGATAAAAACACCACCTACAAAATGACCAGTATCCAGTGAAATGAGTATCCAGTGTCTTATTTATTTTTTTAGTTATACTCATTAAAGAGTGGCAAGTAGAGTGTTTTGATCAAAATCTAAACTGAAATTCATTTAAACAGTTAAAGGAATTCAAAAATGAGTATAATCTAGAGTACATTATGTCAGGTAAAATTCCATATAGGAAGGTGATAATAAATAGCTTAGAAAGAATATTAGAAAATTCAGAATTAAAATCAATAAGAATGTTACATTTGAAAAGGTAAACAAAATTTTGTTGAAAAAGAAGACAAATGTTTTAGAAAGCCGTTGCAATTAAATTTGATCTTAAATGCTTTTATATTATTGAAACGCTTTTTAATGAAGTTACAAAACACTTCTAATGAATTTTTATAATAAGTATTAAAAACTGTTGTTGTTTTTTTACTTGTATAATTATGTGTTTTTTATGATAAATGTTTATCTTTGAGCATATTAAAAAACGAAAGGAAAAATACAAATGTTGAAACAAAGAATGAAATGGTTTTTTAATGCGTAAATTTAATAGACTAATTATTTTAGTTTGATGAGTTTTTTTTTTTTTTTTCTTTTTTAAATTTTTTTTTTTAGATAAGTTTAAGTTTTTGTAACGCATTTTTAAATTTTGAAAATGTGTCAAAGCTGTGGTCAAATGGTTAAAACAAATTATTTTTTGCATGGTCATGTAATTGCGTGCGATTGCATGTCTTCCTGTGAAAGACTGATATATATATATATATATTTATATATATATATATATATATATATATATATATATATATATATATATATATATATATATATATATATATATATATATATATGTATATATATATATATATATATATATATATATATATATATATATATATATATATATATATATATATATATATATATATATATATATATATATATATATATATATATATATAGGCCTCGGCGGGAAGCGAGAGCTTTAGCTCTCGCTCTCGCCCACACTCCCCTAAAACAGTTTACAGGAGCAATTTACGGCTCTCGCAAAAGTATAATTTTTCTCATGAAGGTATAATTAAAATTACAAAAGAGTGCTAATTTAAATGAGGAGCAGCTCGCACAGCTCCCCAAATTCGTTTTAGGAGAGCTTTTCTCAGCTCTCATGCTCATTTGTTCCCGCTGAGGCCTGTATATATATATATATATATATATATATATATATATATATATATATATATATATATATATATATATATATATATATATATATATATATATATATATATATATATATATGATGATGAAAAGATGTAATTAAGCAATTTTTTAAATGTTGACTTAAATCAAAACAATTTTTCATAGAAAAGTGAAGAATAATTAAACATTTTTTTATTTATTTAATTTTTCTCACTGTTTTAAAAAATATTTTTGTTTTATAGGTGTTAGCAGTTGCTTTATTGTGTCTTCCTTTGTAT